CGTGAGCGATGACCAATGTGGTGACGCGCTTGGCAGCACCCCTGTCAGTGCCCATGAGGGGCGCCCGTTCGCCTGCTGACAGATGGAAGGAAGTGGCCGTCAGAGAGAAGATACTTCTAGAGGGCGCTGGTCGGTGCAAACCTCGCGCCCGAAACGTCGCGCGACGTCGGCCATCCGGCGGCCCGAACCGAGCTTCTGAACCGCGATCTAGGACTGCAGCGCGCCCGATGACAAAATGCCCCGGAGGGGGGTCCAGGGCGCAGCCCAGAAAATCCAAAAGGTTCATGCTCAGGATGCGAGGGGTGTCCCTGGCCAAGACTGCGGTTTCTACGATCCCAAGAACTCCGCCCAGGCAAAGCGGAAAGAACGCCGCGCCGATCACCATGGCCTCGCCGCCGATGCCGCGAGCCGTCTCGGGCGCCTCGAAGTTCCTCGGCACCGCGACATAGCGGAGGCCGCACGTGGCGAGTGCGCCCGACTCCCCGTCGAGGGGCGGCAGCCCCGCGACGTCGCTGCCAGCGCCGGGGCCCGCCAACCCCAGCGTGGTTGCGGCGTTCCGATAGACCTCGTTGACGCGAACCTCATCCTGCCCGAGATCGCCGGGAAGTTCGCCGCCCCCGTGAACGCGTGCCCAGCGAGCCCGCGACCCGACGGGGAGTCCTTATCCTTTGGTGGGTGAGGACACTCGCGGCGCCAGTGCCCATTATGCTGGCAGTTGTGGCACGTGGTGACCTTGATGAGCTTGCGGCGATGCACCTCGCCGCCCCGAGGTCCTCGATCCCGCCGACTGTCTCCGCGCCCGAATCGGGCCCTGCGTCCTTCTCCTCGTCGACCGCGCCCCCGTCCTCGAGCATATCCGTGGCCCTTGGTCCTGGCGCCGTAGGACTCGCAATCGTGGCGGGCGGCCCGCTGGAGGTCCTCGTTTTGCATCCATGTCATGTCCGCTGGGCCTGCCGTTCCATCTGCAGGTAGACCTCTTCGGCCTCGCCCTCGGAGCTGCCGCCCATCTCGTTGCGTCGGCTCCCGACAACTCGCCCCAATCTTCACCATCCTGCTCGCCGTCGCGGCTTTCGCAATAGAATGAGTCCTCCCCGGGGTCGCCAGTCCCAGGGCCAGCGGCAGGGTAGGACTGAGAGGTTGGAGGAGGAGGGTGACTGCTGTCGGCTGCGCTGTCCCCGCCGACTTCTGCGGCCACGATGGGGCGACAGCCCGCACCGACAATGCGCCCGGGAATCAGTTTCTCACCGCTGCCGTAGTCAAGCTGCTCAGGGCCCAAGAGACCTGGCTATACTCCAGGTTGCCTCTGGTGAGGGTCTGGAGGCTCTGCTGGCCCTGGGCAGACAGTCCGGCTCCCTCCTCAAGCAGGAAGCCCTTCACCTACTCCGACATCCAAATGTCGTGAGTTTCCACCTCGAAGAGCTGCTGATCCTGGCGAGTGACATACAGGGTCAGCGTTCCCTTCGCCTCGCGCGTGCACTCGGAGATCGCTCGCCTACCAACACGCCTCAGGTCGTCGCCCTCGCGCTCTCCAGCCATGGTGCCCATCCGCCGGAGCACCGCGTCCAGCCATTGCGGACCGGCGACCACCTCGTCGCTCATGTCCTCGAACTTGGCCTACATGGCCCCGTCGAATCCCTCCATCAGCTTCTCGAACCGCCTCCAGACCTGGACGTCGGCCCCCAGGTTCCACCTCAGGAGGGCCTTCTTCCACAGGCGGCAGTGCCCCCAGCCTGGCCGTGTGGGTGGGTCGGAAAAGTCACCCTTGCCGCCCCATTGGTTCTGCTGCCAACCTCCTCGCTGCCAGCCGCGATCGGCAGTCGACCAATCGTCGTCTCCCTGCTGCCAGGGTCTCTTGGGCGCCCGAGTTATCCGGGGTAACTCGGGTCCGGGGTAACTCGAGTTTGGATTCCCGAAAAAAAAAAACCCGAGTTAGCCCTGACCCGAGTTACCCCGAATGATTCGGGGCTCTGGACGCCCGAATTATCCGGGGTAACTCGGGTCCGGGGTAATTCGGGTTTGGACTCCCGAAAAACGAACCCGAGTTAGCCCTGACCCGAGTTACCCCTGATGATTCGGGGCTCTGGGTCTCGTCCTCCAGAGATCCCCTCTGGTCGCCGTCTCGATCGCGGCCCTTCTTCCAAGGATCCTCGCCCGTCCCGTCCCACGGGTCGGACTGCCCTCTGTCGTCCTCCCCGGACTTCGCATGCCAATCCTGGTACTTTGAAGGGGCCCCAGGACACACAAATAAATACACACAAATAAAAATATTCCACATATTTTCATATATTTTCTGGGTTTTCGTCTTCCCCTCCACTTCCCATATTTTCCAATATTTTTTGGGGAATCGACGATTAATTGTGTCTGTGTGCTTTTCCCCCTCCTGATACTTGTCCCGGGTGCCGCCCGGGTTCCTGCCGTCTCGCGGCCTCGAGCCAGCCGAGTCGCCCGCAGCAGCGGCGGTGTCGGTCAGTGTCTCCTGGACCACTTCGCGGATCTGATCCCGATGTTGAGCAGGGGCCGACCGTCCCGGCATTCCTGTAGTCCTACCACGGAATGTTCTTAGACCCCAAAGAATGTTCGAATCACAAAAACAGTGTTCTTAGAACATAAACCCGATGCGCTAAAACAAGACAGTCCCATCCACACATGCTCTAAAAACATTGCGTGGAAACCTTCGAAGGTTCTTAGAACAGTGTTTGGTGGGCCTATAGGCACGCCGGGACGCTCCGCCACTGCTTGACGATGGCGATCACATGCTGCTGCCTCGGGCCCGGCCGACCCCGTGGCGGCCCCGCCCGCTGACGCTGACGCAGGCGGTGGCACCAGCGGAAGCTGACCGTTCGCCACGCCCGTCGCCGCATTCGCCTGCGTGATCCCCTCTGCGGACGCACGCGCACCCTCCCGTGGCTCCACGCACTGCACGTCCTCGGTGAAGCTGGTCTCCCTTTGGCGTAGGATGTAATCAGCTCCTGCGCTTTCCTTTTCAGTCTAATCGCTCTTTCTCCGTTTCCGACCCAATCCAATCATCCCCCCACATCATGATCCAATCCGTTTCTAACCCAATCCAATCAGACCCCCCTTTAGTAAAACGTGGTTTTGTGAAAACGACCTCGGGCCCAAACCTGGCGGGCACAAGTCTGGAAAATGACGGCCGCGGCGCCCTCTGGAGAACCGAAGACGGACAACTCACGAATCGACGTGTCAGGGTAGGTCTGTCCACCCCCGATCGATGGAGCGGCAGTCGCCTGACGGTCCGAGCAGCTCCGGCGCCACCGCCCTAGCGGCGCCTGGTGCAACCCCTGCCGGCCATGGCTGACCACCGCTCCGCTGCCAACTGTGGCAGCAGCGAGATGTGCGGATGCTTTTTGCCCTGAGCCAAACCGGCAAGTAGCAGTAACACCTTCCTGTCATGAGTGAGACTCTGTCCAAACGTAGCGGGCCCTGAACGCTATAGAGACACACGCGCACACTCATGGAGATAGATCAAACAGCTAAACCTATATCACGAAAACAGGGGCAGCAGGACAGCTCTGCACTAAGTGGCACCTTGAGCTGCAGATGGCTTTAAGAGTCAGCAGTTCCTGGAGCAGCAGGCTCCAGGCTGCCATGGTGCGCCACTGGAGCTACAGACGGCAGGGGTGCTCACAAGAAGCGAACGCGCGGCTTCCCCGTGTTGCACGATAGGAATGCACACATGCATTCAAACAGGACGAGACTTAAACCATAATACGTTTGGCCCGGGATACGGTCCAAGAACTCTGGAGTATCCAGCGGCCCTCGTTTGCTGTGCCCGTGTGGAACCACGGGAGATCCTGGAAATCCTGGAAGGATCCTGGAACGTATCCTTACCATGACCTCTTGGCCCTCTGATGAAAGAGTGCATGGCTCGCTCTGGACGAGGCTAGACGCCACGCGTCAGCAGGACAGCTCTGCACTAAGTGGCACCTTGAGCTGCAGATGGCTTTAAGAGTCAGCAGTTCCTGGAGCAGCAGGCTCCAGGCTGCCATGGTGCGCCACTGGAGCTACAGACGGCAGGGGTGCTCACAATAAGCGAACGAGCGGCTTCCCCGTGTTGCACGATAGGAGTGCACACATGCATTCAAACAGGACGAAACTTAAACCATAATACGATTGGCCCAGGATGCGTTCCAAGAACTCTGGAGTATCCAGCGGCCCTCGTTTGCTGTGCCCGTGTGGAACCACGGGAGGTCCGGGAAATCCTGGAAGGATCCTGGAACGTATCCTTACCATGACCTCTTGGCCCTCTGATGAAAGAGTGCATGGCTCGCTCTGGACGAGGCTAGACGCCACGCGTCAGCAGAACAGCTCTGCACTAAGTGGCACCTTGAGCTGCAGATAGCTTGAAGAGTCAGCAGTTCCTGGAGCAGCAGGCTCCAGGCTGCCATGGTGCGCTATTGAAGCTACAGACGGCAGGGGTGCTCACAAGAAGCGAACGCGCGGCTTCCCCGTGTTGCACGATAGGAATGCACACATGCGTTCAAACAGGACGAGACTGAGACCATAATACGTTTGGCCTGGGATACGTTCCAAGAACTCTGGAGTATCCAGCGGCCCTCGTTTGCTGTGCCCGTGTGGAACCACGGGAGGTCCTGGAAATCCTGGAAGGATCCTGGAACGTATCCTTACCATGACCTCTTGGCCCTCTGATGAAAGAGTGCATGGCTCGCTCTGGACGAGGCTAGACGCCACACGCCAGCAGGACAGTTCTGAACTAAGAATTGCACACACTTTGCATGCATGGCTCGCCCTTGGCACGGCCAGACGCTGGCAAGACAGCTCGGCACGCTTCCAACTCACCCCAGTAGCGGTTCATACTGGCTCCAAGCCACGTGGTTAGAGGCCCCCTAGATGGAGTCGGAGTTGATGGTGTCGGAGGATCGTGCCGCATCGCCGATGCATCGACGGCGATGCATCGGCGACGTCGGCGGTGCATCGGCGACGCCGGCGTGGAGAAAATCGGGCTTCACATCGAGCCGCATCGCCGATGCATCGGCGATGCGGGGCGATCCTCCGACCCCATCTACTCAGACCGTAGGAGGTCTGGAATGGTACGACCCGCCAGACGCATCTTCAAAGCGGCCCCGAGCGCTGCGGCCGGGCTGTCGTCGCAACGGGCCCGCGCGCCCCGCGGCGCAACTCCCTGGAGATGGCGCCCGCCCAGCTGTTGGGGCTGCCCCCCGCGCCGTCGCCCTCGGCGCCTGCTGCTGCCGGCCCCACGACCGCCGCTGGCCCGAAGCAGTCGCGCTCGTCGAGGCACGGGCGGCACTGCCTCACGCCCACCTCCCACGGCGAGCATGCCGGCCGCCGGATTGCAGCCGCCTTCCGCTCCCAGAACGCCTCGGACCGGAGGCGCCTGAGCGGGGCCACCTTCGGCGCCGGCATCGCACACCACATCTGGGGGCGCCCCTTCCCGAAGGGCACCGCCTGGAGAAGCGTTGTCTCGAAGAGCGCCGGCTCATCGCCATCCCTCGGCAGCGCGGTGGTGCCCCAGCTCTCCTTGTGAACGTCGGCGTCTTGGTCGTCGCCGAAGGCGAGTAGCTCTGTTGTTGGGCATCGCGTTGGGGCCGAGCTCAGCCAGTCCGAATTGGAACGCACCCTTTTGCCCTTCTTCTGCTCGGCGAAAGCCGCTTTACCTTCTTGAAGACTTGCGCGCGGGCTGAGCATTTTTGATGGGGCACTAGCCGGCTTGCGTTCACACGCTGAAATTTGCGAGAGCTCCACTGCCACACAGGTGGTTTGAGCCTGAATGTCCACAGACGGAATAACCCCTATCAAGAAGATTACCTGTTGAGAATGAAGCCGGAGCGAACTCGACGAAATGAACAAATGAACCGGGCGCGCCCGCGCAACTGAAATCCACGATGAGCTTCAAGTGCCGGCGCAGTTTCGAAGGTGGAGTGAAGAGGGAAGACTAGGATAATGCGACAGATTTCGCGCGCAGCATGGATACATGTGTCCAACGTTCCTGCCGATGTGGGCGCTACCAAAAGATGGCTGCGGCAGCAGGCTGAGAACCGCTGAGCTGCAAAAAGAGTCATGCACACCAGCATTACGGCCTTTGATTTTGCAGTGCTGCTCTCTCCCTTACCTCTGACTCTGCAAGCTAATCTTATGTCGGTAAGATCTCCTACTGGGCCAGAACCACGAACCTTTTGTTTCTGTTTCCCCGCCAACTTCCCGCAGGAACTATCACAGGCCCTCACGAAAGATCCCGTAGAGAGCCTGCAGATAGCCCGCAAAGCTTCTGCAGCACGTATTTCGGGACATGAGTTTCCCCAGATATCTATGTCTAAACAAGTGCATGCGTTCCTTCTCCGCATCGTGTTCGAAATTACTGCAATTGCGCGTTTAATGGCATGATATATCAAAGCGTCCGCGCACAAAAGCAGTGATCACACCCGCGAGCACACATCTGCGGCACAAGACCACCATTACAAAACGTCTGGACCACGTCGTGTCACTGACGCAGAATATTCATTACCGGTAATACGACTTGACACGTATCTTCGCTTTCAGCGATTCCGCGAATCCACATTCGATCTCATGGGGACGCAGCCCCGCTGCCATTTCACGGGCAACTGCGCCCGAACCGTTTGCGCAATACGGCGCACGCGTAAGCCGCGCCAAAATTGCAACGCACAGAAGGAGGCGGCAGGGGGAAGGGCGGAAGGGCCCCCGAACCCCCCCCAGAGATCCCCAAAGCCCCCCATGAGGACCGCAAGACAACTCCAAGACGGCTCCAGGACGGTCCCACGAGAATCCCAGGACGGCTCCAAGACGGCCCCAAAGCGGTTCCAACACGGCTCCGATACCAGCCCAAAACGGCTCCAGGACGGCTCCTGGACGGACCCCAAGACGGCCCCCAGGCGGCCCCAAAAATTGTCCCTCGTCGGCCTCCTCCATATTCTGTTTGTCGAAGCCCTAAGTTGCATTCCATGTTCCTCGCCCTCCTCCTCCTGCTGTCAAATCTACGTGCCTTCACCCTGTCCGTTTTCATTGTCGTTGCAAAGAAAATAGTACCCGTCCCCATTGTCAACGCCCCCGCCCCACACTGCCCTATCTTCCTCCGATCCGTTCGCCACGTTTCCACGCACGCTCCGTCACCGCCGCCCCCCCCCACTCCGCATTCCTTCGGTCGCCCCTTCTCGCGACCTCGCATTGCCCCTCGCCGCTCCTCCGCGGCTAGCCTACAAGCCCAAGCGCAACGCTCCGCCTCGCGCGCCTTCTCGTTCACTCAGCCCCCCTCGTCATGCAACCCCCATCGCGCCTGCCCGCCCCCACTCCTCGTTTGCGTCATCATCCGCTTTTTTTTCTCCTCCCCCCTACTCTCCGCCGCGCCTCCTACACCTTCTCCCAATGCCGCATTTCCTGGAGGCGCCCCAGACGGCCCATGAGGGCCCGAGCGCTGACTCAAAAGACCCCACGAGGGGGGCGCGACCTGAAAACCCAAGCCTTCAGTTCCAGGCAAACCCCGGGAGGCGCCCCAAGAGGCCACGACAAGCCCCGAACAAATCCCAGTGAAGCCCCAAGCGACCCAGCAGAAGCCCCACGACAGCCCCCAAGAAGCCTCGACACTTTCTCCAAGGCCCCCCGACGGGCCCCCCACCCCGCGAGATCCGGAAGAACAACCAAAAGGCCCCAGGCCCACGACCCAGGCACGGCGGGCGGCGGCGCGGCGAAGGCCGCCAGAGATGGGAAGTCTGCCGGCGGCAAGTATGATCGGCCAGGTGCTGCTGATCAGCTCGATGATAAGATGGGCGAACATGAGGTCGGCGATGTTTCCGAGGTCGTTCGACCCCTAGCCGCGACAGCGGCCGCCGTCTGCAGCGCCCCACTGCGACTCGCTGACCCGCGTGGCCTTGCCAACGAGAGTCTCCGGCGTAAAAGCCCACTCTGGGCGGCTCTTGTTCGCCGGCGACCTGATGGAGAAGTATTGTTTTCTTCTCGAGCTCCTTCTTGCTGCGCCCGCGCAGAAACAGCGCGCTCGAGACGCCCGCCGCGCGACTCTGCGCAGGCCCCTGCATCGCCCGATGCGCCTTGCTCTTCGCGCCCGCGCATACCTCGCGAGTGAACGTGCTGGACGCATTACCGCGTGTCTCCTCCAGGCCAGCGATCGCGTCGTTTTCCTCGGCGCAAACGTCGACTGGCCGGCCGCGCGCAGCCGTCGTCGTCGTCGATGTCGGAAAGATCTCGCCGAGATCGGCCCAGTCGCCCGCGCTGCCCCGCCGCGGCTCCTCCGCGGACCCGCCCTTGGACCATCGCAATGCGAAGCGAGCTACACCTTTCTAACCAGCTCGTCGCTCGCCCAGGCCCCGGCCGCATCCGCCCGGCTGTCGACGCAGCCCGGGGCGCTCGACAGCGCGTTGACAAAAAGGCCATTGGGCGCCTCCACAGTGATTCCCGCGATGGCGCTCTCGAGCTCGATTTTCGCCAGGGCGCAAGCCTGCGCGGCTCGCGCGCTCTGCCTGCCCCCCACCCGCGCAGAGTCAACCGCGCCGTCGAACAGGGCCTCGTGCTCCAACGCTCGCAACGACGTGCCCAGAGAACGAATTCTCGACGCCGTCGCCCGCGCAAGCTGCGACGTCGCGCATCTCGTCCGAGACCAGTTTCATCTCGACGCCCGCGCCCGCCCCCAGGGCCCCGCGCGTCGTTGCAGAACTGATGTGTCTGAGCCCCGCCACCCGCGTCGATCGAAGACCCGCCGCGGCCCTGCAACTTCGCGCGGGCGGCGCCCGCGCGCTCCGAGTCGATCGCCCCGCCCTCGTTCGCGGCGACCTTGTTGGTCGCGCCCGCGGTGCTCGCGACGGCGCCGCGCGCGCCTGCTTTTTCTCACATCGCTTTCTGGCCATGCCCCAGGGCGAAGGCATTGAACTCCACGCCGCCCTCGAAGTGCTTCCGCGCGTCGGCGAGCGCCGCCTCGCCGTTGCAGACGCCCTCGTTGATCGCGCCAGTCGAATAGAACACCTCGTCCAGAATGCGCTCGAACACCCCGCCCGCGGAGACCGCCAGCACGCGCGACGAGCCGCCTGGAGGCTCCAAGGCCGCCCTTTCCGAGGTCGCCCGAATGGCCTCTCGAGGCGCTGAAATCTCTCGGGCGCCTGGGAGACGATGCGCCCGCGCGCGCGAAACAACTATTTCCGCGGCATCGGCATCGCCCGATATTATCATCAACCCTTATAGAACTTACGATTCAATGCAAGATGCGCCCGCGCCGCTCGCGACCACGCACGAAGCCGACGCGCGCGCGACGCGCGCGAAATCTCAACGCGCCCGCGCGCGGGGGGCCGGGGGGGGGCGACGCATCATGTGTCTGCGAAAATTTGAATACTAATCAGCAAGGCAAAATTGCGATCTCTGCCAGACGCAAGTTGTCGCTCGAGGCGCGGGCTGCGCGGTCCACGCGCGCGGGGCCTTCCGACCGCGCGCGGCAGATGAAGGCTGCAGAATCGATGGGAACCCACATGCCAAATCATGGCCATTCCTTTTGAAGATCGCGCGGGCGCTGAAAAATGCGCAGCGCGCGCGCCCGACGACGCGGGACCGCGGCGCTTGCAATCGCAGGTGGGGCGCGCGGGCCCGCCCGCGCGCGCCTTCGGGCGCGCCAGGGGCCCGCGGCGCGAGAGCGCGCGCTCGGGGCGCCCGAGACTGCTGTCGCGGCGCACGAGCGCAGAAAACAAAGTCTTAAGCTCGAAATTCAAATGACGCACCTCATTTTAAGATCGTATAGATTGAAAACACGCTCGGGTCTCCTCATATGGCGCACGAGCGATAAGAATCGCACTCGGGGCGCCCGAGACTGCTCGCGGCGCGCGAGCGCAGAAGACAAGGTCTTAAGCTCGAAATCCAAATAACGCGCTCTAATGTAACATTTGTATTTGGGAAATATTGGAAAATCCTATTTTTGTTTTCGCGCACGACGCAAAACGCTCTCGGGGCGCCCGAGACAGCTATCGTGGCGCACTAGCGCAGAACAAAAAGTCTTAATCTCGAAATCCGACTTGCGCGCCAAAGTGTATATATTTCAATCAAGTTCACATGGGCCCGCGCCCGCGGCCAAGACGAATTGAAAGGCCGGACAGACGACGAGGACAATGCATTTCTCATCTTTTTCTGCGGCGGCACTCTCGCCGCCGGGGTTTAAGAGCCAGTGCGCCGCGGGCCCCGACAAGGCCAGCTGAAGTTCAGTTAAAACCTCCCGAGGCCAAGGGGGCACGACAAAACTAAATAGATGCGGATAGGACGCGGCCACTCTCTGATGCTGCAATGTATTCTTCAATAACCAGATACTATGCAAGTTCGCATAGGCCCGCGGCCAAGACGAATTGACAGACAAGACAGACGATGAGGACAATGCATGGATCATCTTTTCTGTGGCGGCGCACTCGCCGCCGGGGGTTAAAAGCAAGTGCGCCGCGGCCCCGAAAAGGGTTAGTAGTGACATTCAACTGGCGAAGCTTTCGGCGACAAAACACCAATCAAACAATAAACGATTTCAACCAAAAATGACTGGCGTAGTGTTGGTAGAAGAGCAACTATCTGATGGCGAAAGCATGCGAGCCCGCGCGATGCTTCATGCCCAGGGGGGCTACTCCGAGAGAGGTGCGAGCAGCACGGTTGGCACGAACAGAATCAAAAACAAATCGACCGCGAAGAACGACGACGCGAGCTCGACCAGCAAAAGCAATGCAATTCGCAGCAAGGGCGAAGCATTAAAACAACAGTCTGGGCAAATAGCAACGCGACGGCGGCAATGAAGGCAAGCGTAACTTCACTAACCGCTGAAGGTCGCGCAAACAAGCGCTAGGCCGAAACAAAAACACCTGATATTACCAGGAACCCCGACCTTGGAGGACAAATGGGGGCTCCCGCGGCGCGGGCTCAGCACGCGACCATGCGAGCCACTGTGGGGGGACGCGTGGCTTGCGAGCAAGTGAACTGCAAAGAAAAGCATGCATGCGGGCCACTAGTTCTGATAGGTCCGTGCGTCGCAGGCGAGATGCCAAGAGGGCACCTGACGTTGGTTCCCGTGTTGTCCGTTTGAGGTGGTGACGCTTTGTCGGGGTGTCTCCAGACATCCGGGGGCCCTCTGGAGCAGTGTTGGGGCCCTCTTGAGAGTATCTGGGGGCCTCCCGGTCGTGGGATGAACGCGGGTTCCCGTATTGTCCGTTTGGCGGCGTCTCCAACCATCCCGGGGTTTTCTTGGGCAGTCTTGGGGCCCCGTTGGGGGCGGCTGGGGGCTTCCCGGAGGCCTGTTCCAGGCTCGTTGGGGCCTCTTGAAAGCCTCTCGGGGGTCTCCTGGGGGCCGGTTGGGGCCTCCTGGGTCTTTTTCTGGGCTGGGGAACCCAACGTGTAGGTCCCTGCCACCTCTCTGAAGTTTTCTTCTGTATTCCTGAAGCTTTCGGAGGCCGTCTTGGAGACGTCTTGGGCCGTCTTGAGAGCGCGTTGGACAGGTCTGGGCGCTCTCTTGGGGGCCTCTCAGGCCGTCAGCCCAAGAACGGGCCCAGAAGCAGAGAGGCAAAGGCGCGCCGTGTCCGGCCAAGACGGCCGCCGACCCGCGCGGGGCAAGGCGCGCGGGCCGCAGCCCCTACATGCCATCCTTCTCCTGTGCGGAATAAGACCATGATGCCCCCGAATCTCCCGCGCAATTGTGCCATGATTCGCGGGCTCCGTTTAACAATAAAAACCTTGACAGATTATCTGACCAGCGACGCTCGGGCCGCCCGTGGGATCTCCGAACGCTGCGGCCCCGATTTTGCAGCAACCCTCGACCGCGAATTCGATGGCGACTGCTGTGCTCTTCGCGCCCATGCCCATGTCAGTCTTCTTTGTGTGACCACCGTCGAAGCAATGTCTACTTCAACCAGCTTCGACTCTGCTTCCCTTGCTGCACGCTTGAACCCATCCACCCATGGCTCAATGAATCGCTCGAGGGATCGTCTGCGCGAACGCATCTCCTCCTCTTCCCCAGGATCATGCGCATCATTCTTCTTTGGCAGCGTAACGGTGCCCCCTCCATTGGGCCGGCCACGACCCAAGTAGCTGCTCCGTAGAGCGCTGTCGGCTTCACCTCGGTGTCGAACAACTTCAAGCGATCGCGCAGAAAAGAATATTTATTTGCGAGCTCGCCCTTAAACATCATGAACATCTCCCAGCCAACAGAAATGCGATCGTCTACCTCGGCATCGTAGGGGCCCGCGAGGGTGAGCTTGCGCCCAAGGCATCTAACGCTGCCACTGAAAGGTGGCGCGTCGATGTCCAGACCACGTACTTCCATGGATGTGCACGAAAACCTCCCTGTCCTCTTCGCGAGATTGCTTAGCACCTTTGAATTGTCTGGGCGCAGCGACAAACCTCTCGCAGGACGCGCCAAGGTGGCTTCGAGACGGCCCGCGGGGGTCCCGAGACGGCCCGAGAAGACCCCAAGTAGGCACCGCCACGGCCAACAGAGACTGCCCGCACGGCCACGACAGGCCAAATACGGCAATACGTAGACGCCACATGGAAGCAGGTCTGCCCGGCACTGAGCGCCAGCAGTTCCTGGAGAAGCAAGCCCCAGGCTGCCGCGGTGCGCCGCTGGAGCTGCGGACGACAGGGTTACCCGCGCTGCGCGAGAGGACTGCACGCAGGCATTCAACCAGGACGAGACTCAGACCATAATGCGGTTGGCTCGGGATACGTTCCAAGAGCTCTGGAGTGCACAGCGGCCCTTGTTTGCCAAGCCCGCTGGAAGGATCCTGGAGCGCATCCTGACCATGACGTGTTGACCCTCTGATGAAAGAGCGCATGGCTCGCTCTGGGCGAGGCTAGGCGCCGCGAGCCAGCAGGGCAGATCTACGCTAAGTTGCACCTTGAGCTGCAGACGGCCTTATGAGCCAGCAGTTCCTGGAGCAGCAGGCCCCAAACTGCCGGGGTGCGCCGCTGGAGCTGCAGGCGGCAGGGGCGCTCGCAAGAAACGCGCGCACAGCCTCCCCGCGTGGCGCGAGAGGACTGCACGCAGGCATTCAAACAGTGCGAGAGTGAGACCAAAACACAATTGGACCGGGATGCGTTCCAGAAGAGCACGACCAAGACAGGCCCAAAAAGGCCATACGTAGGCGACCCCAAGAGGGCAAGCGGGCCCCAACCTGCCCCTAAGACGGCCCACAGGGTCCCAAGAAACCCCACTTCATGAAAACAACTCAAATAATGTGACGCAGAGGTGCCACATATCACGGCTCATCGTCATCACCAGCATCATCGCCCCATGATCCTCTCCCCTGGTCCTCAAACAACGCCTCAACGTCCAGATGATCCTTCCCCTCCTCCTAATCCTCCTCCTGCTCTACTCGTCATCCTTGTCTCCCTATGTCCCTCCGCCCCCTGCCTCCCTGCCCCTCCTCGTCCTCCTGATTCCTCCTCTCCTCCTCTTCCGCCTCCTCCTCCCCCTCCTCGTCCTCACGGTCCCCTTCCCGGTCCTCAGTTCTCCCGCTCCGCCCGTCCCGTAATCCTCTGAAGGGGCCCTGGGACACACAAATAAATACACACAAACAAAAAGATTCCCCATATTTCCATATACTTCCTGGGTTTCTGTCTTCCCCCCCACTTCCCATATTTTCGCATATTTTCAGAGCGTGAATTACCTCCCCCGCTTTCGCTTCCAGGCAAAACCAAGCCAAACCACGCGCCTCCTCGTCAAGCGGCCTGACCAGTACAGGCCGCAATTTGGCATTGTTTGGTATCTCTTGGAAGCGAGGGTGGTCAAAAGCGAGGTAGGTTTGTTTTCCCCCGATATTTTCTGGGATATCGACGAATACTTGTGTCTGTGTGTTTTTTCCCCTCCTGATCCACGGTGATCCACGGCGGCAGGAGGCGCGCGGACCCGCCCTGGGATCCCTGCGAGGAAACGCTTTTGGGCAGCGCACGCCTTACTACAGTTCCTGCCGGGGAACACGACCAAGGCAAACTTTGGACTCCCGAGTTATCCGGGGTAACTCGGGTCCGGGGTAACTCGGGTTTGGGTTCCCGAAAAACGAACCCGAGTTAGCCCTGACCCGAGTTGCCCCTGCTGATTCGGGGCTCTGGACTCCCGAGTTATCCGGGGTAACTCGGGTCCGGGGTAACTCGGGTTTGGATTCCCGAAAAACGAACCCGAGTTATCCCTGACCCGAATTACCCCTGATGATTCGGGGCTCTGACTTACTACAGTTCCTGCCGGGGAACACGACCAAGGCAAACTCGCTTCCTCATTTTGGGGGGAAGCACAAAGACACCGATACCACTACTCCGCTGACCTCCCCTTGGGTGCGTTTTGACCAGGGACTCGAAGCGAATCCGGCCGTGGTGGCGAGGGAGGGGCAGCGGTACACGTCGGCCGGAAGAAGTAGATAAGAACATGAAGTAGGAAGGCGGATTGAGTTGATTGGGTCCAGGCCCCCCAAGATAATAACAAAACACAGCAAAAGCGTGTCGATTCTTGAAGTAGGCAGGCGCTTGAAGTAGATTGGGATCTGGGAGTCCAGAAATACCTACTTTCAACGACCGGCGTGTATCGGTATCGTTTCCTCCTCTGGGTTTTCGGGGCGCCAGCACGTAGCAGCCCCCGAGTCGTGTGGGGTGAGGAGGGCGTGGCGGCCAGCGAAAGCGATCGAAGTGTGGACAATCGACGGGTGCTCCTCACTGAGGGAGGGGCCCAGGGACACACAAAGCAAAGGATTCCTCTATATTCTGCCGTATGTTCTGGAGTTTCGCCTTTATCCCCACATATTTTCCGAAAGATCGACGATTGTTTGTGTCTGTGTGTGTTTTCTCCCCTCCTGAACAGCGCCGAAGGGGGAGACACAGTGCGATCCGCCCCTTAGTCCGATGGAGGTTGCAGAAGGTGTTCCCGGGCCCGCGCGTTGGACGACCCCGACGCCACCGAGGAGACCACTGGGCCCTGCAGGCTGCCCGCCAAAATGAAAGGGCCGAGCGACACACAAATAAATGAACACAAATCCCAGGATTTCCCATACTTTCAAATATCTTCTGGGTTTTCGTCTTCCCGCCGACTGCCTGAATCTTTCCACATTTTCCTGGAAGTCGACGATTATTTGTATCTGTGTTCTTCTCCCCCCTGACAAGAGTCTCCCGCTCGCACGCGGCTGCCGCTGCCTTCAATAACCGAATGCACCAGTAGTGCCGCTGTTGAGCCGGCGGTTGCCTGGACACGCCCGCGGGCTCGCTGGCGTCTCCATGATCTAAATCTTCAATCGGGTTTCCCCCATTCGTTCCACTATGCCCAAGGGCTCTACCTACAGTCGGATTCGATTGGAGAGGACACGCGAGAGGACACAAGACCCTTCCGAGGGCCACGTTGCTACAAAAATGCTGGAGGCATGGGTCGCAAGACGCAGGACACTAAGGTACCCTTTATCTGGCAGGGTCGACCTACTAATCTGGGCCGCCTGTATGAGAACCCACCCTTAGCACCCAACTGCGAATCTGAGCCGATCCTGCTGACCATCCCTATCATCATCCTCCCCCCCCGACGACGATGGCACCGATGACGAGCACGACCACGACGATCTCGACCAGGGCGCTGGGCAGCCACGCCTCGGTGGACGCCGCGGACAGGCCGCGCTTCAACGAGGATTCCTGTATCGCAACGCATGGTGACGCCGCCTTCCCGTCGGCAGACCTCGGCGGGACCGTTGCCACCGGGACTCTTTATCTTGCTGCGCCCCCAATCGATTATCCTCTTCCCTCTCCTTTTTGTCCAGATTCCCCCACTCCTCATCACCGTCGTCATCACCACCATCAGCATCACCATCACACCACCCATCAGCCTCGTCATCGGCACTATCATACAGATGTGATCACCATGCCCTATCGCCATCACCAACATCACCATCACATGTATGAGCAGCAACATCCGACTGATCAGCATGGATGCCATACTCGGCATTTTCTGTATGGCCATCAGCATTGTTATTACCACCATCATCAGCATGATCAACATCACCAACACAACAATCATCACAATGACCATCATCACCAGCATCGCCACCATCACAATCATCGACACATCATCGCTGGCATCAGCACCATCATCATAACCACACGAATCCTCACCATCGTCAGTATCACTTCATCGGGCTCATCATCAGCATAATCATCAACAATCTCATCGTCATCACCATCAAAACCAGCCGCATCAACATCATCGCCGTCGTCGCCAACTACACCATCCACACCAGGACCATCAGCAGCATCACCATCGTCAACATTAACATCAACATCGTCGTCGTCACAACCACCATCGCCATCACCACCACCATAATCATCACCACCACCATCACCATCATCACAATCATCATTCTCATGATCACCAGCATCATCCGCATCATCATCAGATCCGTCGCCATCGGTTCCCAACTACCGCCCCGCATCCACGGCGTTCGCAATCCTGGCGGCGACGAGCGCCCAGGCGCGCCACTCCCCGAAGAGGGGGGCGACGCGCCCCCTCGCGAGCGCCGCATTAAATTAGGGGCAGAGCCCACTGCGGCGCGGCGCCGCCGCCGCGGTAGAAACCACCGCGGCGCGCGGCGAGGGGGCAGCGCGCGGGCCTGACACCCCCCGGCACAATGCCGACGACGCACCCAGCGCGCGCAACGCGGCGCGCGCGGCGCGGGTGGGCGGGGAAACCCAACAGGAAGCGGGCCTGCACGCGCCTGCGGCGATAGCGATCGCTCGCGCTGCGCAGCGGCGCGCGCGGGCCCCTCGACGGGCCTCGCGCGCACCTGCGAACCCAGCCTGCGCAACGGCGCAGCGAAGGCGCGCGCGCGCGCTCGGGCCCCTCCCCGCGCGCGCGCCTGCCTTGGAGGGCGCAAGAGGGGGTCTGCAACAAGGGGTCTGCAATGGGGGCTGAATGCGTCGCTCATGTATGTGATCGGGAACGATTGGCGCCCAACGTTGGCGGTCATGGAGGGCCAGTCGCTCGTGCCCGCGCGTTGCCCGCGTGGGCGCGCGCGCCGTCCATCCATTATCGTTCACGCGCGCGGGCATCATTGCATTCTGCGCGCGGGGCTGCGAAGTGGAATGCAAGCGTGTCTTGATTGTGCGATTGATGATCGCGCATGTTCCCATGCGACGAACAATCGACCCCCAAGACAGATTTGGAACGGGTCCCGCGATTCTCCCAACATATGAGTTCATATCTTCCTTCTTCCCAAAATATGAATTCACATTTTCCTTGTTCTCAAAGCGTGAATTCACATTCTGGCCCCTTCAAAAAATCCTGCGCAAACACCCACAACGTGAAATCAGATGTTCCTTTTGTGCTTTTCCTCACAATGTGAATTCGCATATTGCCATGGCCTTCGAGATCCCCAAACCTGAGGCGCAGCGTTCCGCATGTCAGATTGGCCGGGCAGAGTTTGACACTCACCTCACCACTTTCGCGTATTTCAACTTTGTCTTTTTGCGCCCTCAGCGCACGTTGCGTTCGTCGCCTTCCCCGACCCCCCCGACCCCTCGCTTCGCCCCCCCCTCGAGTCTCGCGCGCGGGCGCAGGCGGGGGGCTTCAATTGGCACCCCCGCCGAACGCGGCAGTCGAGGATGCATCGCCAATCCATGGCACATAAAGACGCCATTTCCGGGGCGCTGCGCCCGCCCCCGCTTTCGCCCTCCAACTGCCGCAGGACGCGCGCCGCACGCGTCGCCTGCCGGCCGCGCGCGGCTCCCCGCTGCCCCCCCCCAGCGGATTGCGCCCGGGAACGAGCGAGCTTGTGCGCCCGCCAGGTTGTTCCCCCTTCCCTGTTATTATTTTACGAGCCCTTCTCCCACGTCCCGGTCCTTGCTTACCCTTTTCTTCTTCCATGCGTCCTTCCTCATGCCTCCTCATTCCGCCGGCCTCAACTCTCCTTCCTTTGAATTGACCCCCCCCCCTCCGCCGGATTACGGGTTCCCCCTGTCGCATTGCAAATTGCGCGCAATTTCGCCCCACCGCCCATCCGAAATAAGAACTCACATCATCCCAGGGGGGGCGGCATCCGCCCCGCCCCCCCCCCCCCGCCACATCCTGGAAAAAAGCGCGCACTCGTGCGTCGAGAACCATCCGCTCACAAAAATCCCATGCAAAACACTTGGCGAAGCGCACGCGCGCGCCGTCGCGCGCGCGCGCCGAAATCCTTCAAAAAACCACGCGTTTCACAAGGACTCGAAAATCGAGCCTCGAAAAAAAAATCTCCTCGCCATGCATCAAACTTGCTTGCTGCATGTAAATTCAGGAACGGCAATTTCACCTATACTCCGACCCTTGCCAAAGGAGGCAGCGCGCGAAGCATGCCGGAATAAAAAATCAATAACGCTTTTCACAAAAAAAAGTCAATAACCAAAAAAGGGTGTGAGATGCCACGGCGTCTCTCGATGCGCCTGCGCGGGCCATTGCCCAGTCGCGCCCCCCTTTCCAGCTACCGCTAATCACAAGAGCCATCAACATAAGAAGGACCCAACACATTGAACGACACTTCAGACGTCAGAACCGACGCCGCGGCACGATATGCAGAGAACCACGCGTCAGCAGGGATGCCAACGCGTAGATGAGTCAGACTAAACTCTCCTAAGCGGATGCATTCACGAGCGGAGCGGTCCGAAAGCCACCTCCCAGAGACACGACGCCAGCTAAAGGCGCCTCTCGGGCGAGCAACTCGGCCGAGCTGCCACGGCGCGACTCGTGGGTGGTCCAGCGGAGAGCGCCGAAACCTTGCGCATCCGCTGCAATCTGGGATCACTGCTGCAACCGAGGGTAGCTGGCACGTCGAGGCCTCCGCGGGCATGGCGGGATAGCGAAACGAAAAGCGGTCGAACAGAGCCACGGTGGACGTCCTCACAGGGGGCACCTTCGCCGCGAAGCACAGCACTGACGCGTCAAAAAGGTAGCGATGCGCCCGCGGCGCCCGCAAGGATCCTCGGCCGCGGCGCGGCGCGGCAACTCTCGCGCCCCCGCGTTAGCCTGCGCGATCAAACGGGCCAGGGCCTGGCACCTGGCACAGCTGCGAAGGATATTGAGCGAGCTCTGACGCGACGGAGCCCCCGCCCGACGCCAGACTACACAGGCCTCAATGGCGACGACGGCGGTTGCAACGAAGTCCCAAAAACCCTCAGCGTGGCATCGTTCGTGGCGACCGACGCTGGCTTCCGAGAGATAGCGCCATGACGACACTGATGGAACGACACTGTATGTAGCCCGAACTCAGTCATCCACTCCACCGCCTCCTGGGAACTCCAGAACGAAGAGGAGGCTCGCGCCTTAGATCCTGAGGACGCCCCTGCCCAGCCCATCCCCCGCGAAGAACCACGCGGGTGAATAGCGAGGCAGAAGAGGAATAGATGCGTTCCCAGCGCGCACGCGCACCGCCCCGTGCCTGAAAGTCCAGGCAGCGGCAAGAACGGCCGGGCCCAAGAGCGCAACGGCCTAGGCCCTCGGCGCTTGCCCAGCGGGCGGTGTCTGGCTCGACTCACCGCGGAGCATGGCGGCTTCGCGAAGCAGCCCACCGCGCCCCCGCTGCTGCGCAGCGCGCGCAGCTCAGCGGCCAGGCCGCCGCGGGTCAGGCCGCGGCCATCATCGACGGCCAGGTCGTAGGCCAACGCATGCACCGCCAGCTCAGCGGCCCGCGCCTCTTGCTCGACGGCGTCGCACAAGTCCCCTTGACGCCTCGGGCCCGAGCAGCTGCGAAGAAAGATAACTTCACGGCTGCCCCAAACCAAAGGAGTTGAGGGCACAACCTCCAAGGCGCGTCAACGGCCGCGGCGGCTTCCGCTTCCGCGACTCCCGGCCTGCGCGGGCACCATGCCGGCAGCTCGGCTCGTCCGCGGGGTTCTTCTAGGCGGAGATCCAGAAGCGGAAAAGGGATAAGCCACCCGCCAGATCGATGGCCGCCCCGCGGCGGCAGCGCCAGTTCAGCCTGCGGCTGGCGCTGCGGCCCACGATGAAAGTGCCTTCGCACGGCGCGCGGGCAACATCGCGCGCCACTCGGCAGCCCAGCTCCGACGGCCTGTGGAGACGAGCTTGCATGCCCCAGAGCTTCGCGCGGGCCTCCTCCAGGGCGATGTGCTCCATGCCGCCGGGGCGCCCGACCTTGAACCAGCGCGGAACAGGTGGCGGCGTCGCCCTGGCGAGCGCGCAGCGGCCCTCGAGGTCGATGTCGACGCCCAAGCCGTCGCCCAGCCCCGCGCAGGGAGCCCCGTGGCCGGCCCTCTGCGCGACGCGCCGCGCCGACTCCACTGCGTCGCCCATGCCCTGCCATGGCCTCCAAGCGCCGCGCCGGTACACTCCGCGCGGGGGCACAACTCTGCGCCCATGTCCTGCTCGGCGAAAGCATGAGGGCGGCGGGCGCCGGCAGCTCGTGCCAGGCCAGCGGGCACCAATCAGACGGGCGGCGGCCCCACTGCGGCAGCGTCAGCATCCAGACATAGACGCGCGAGAGCGCGAGGCGCAAGCAGGGGCGGCAGCTCTGGCAATAACCGCGCTTTCCGACCAGGCGCTCCACATTGGCATGCTACCTGTTGTCCGAGCAGGGTGAGTGCGGCCGCGAAGAGGTCGAGGCGACGGCGACGAGTGGTGCCAACCCAGTGTTGAGTGGAATGGACCTCCGTCCCCTGGAACTCGCCCTGGCCGCCGTCGACGGACTTCCCGCG